TTGAGACATTGTCTTGCTCTTCACCCAGGCTAATATGCAGTGGCACCATCATAGCCCACTGCAGCCACAACTTCCTGGGCCCAAGCGATTCTCCCCCATAGCCTCCTGATAGCTGAGATGACAGGCACGCACCACCACGCCCAGCTAAGTTTTAAATTTTTCTGTAGAGATGGGGTCTCACTGTGTTGCCCAGGCTGGTCTCAAACTCCTGGGCTCAAATGATCTTTTCGCCTGGGCTCCTAAAGGGCTGAAATTACAGGAGTGAGCCACCGCACCCGGCTCTCCTCACTCCTTAGCAGCCCAGCATCTCCTCAGCCTTCAGCTCTCACATTTTACCTCCCTGGCCTAGGCGCCCCAGTCTAGACTAGAGGAGGTTGCTTTGTTATACGCGTCCCACACGCTCTGTGTGTCTACAGTAACGCACTTCACACGTGTGATTAATGAAATAATTACTTGATAAAGCCTGCCTGCCAGGCAGCAACCAAAGCTCTAACAGGGCAGGGAACAATGTTTGCTCCTGCCACAACCCCAGGGCCACACCATGGTAGGCGCATATTAAGACTTTTGGGTAAACTAGCTGTAAGAGGCCGGGCTCGGTAGCTCACGCCTGTAATTCCAGCACTTTGAGAGGCCGAAGTGGGAGGATCACCTGGGTTCAGGAGTTCGACACCAGCCTGACCAACATGGGGAAACCCCGTCTCTACTAAAAATACAAAAATTAGCTGGGCGTAGTGCCGTGCGCCTGTAATCCCAGCTACTCGGGAGGCTGAGGCAGGGAAGTGCTTAAACCTGGGAGGCGGAGGTTGCAGTGAGTCGAGATCGCGCCACTGCGCTCCAGCCCGGGCAACAGAGCGAGACTCTGTCTCAAGAAAAAAAAAAAAAAAAAAAGCTGTAAAGGCCCGCCTTTCTCCTCACGTCTTCTCCCAGACCCAGGAGTCTGGCCTCCCGCCCTCCACTCGTCTCCATCACACTCACCTCTCCCCGCTGCGCACCACGGTTACTAAGAAGTAAGCTTCCCCAGAGCGCTCGTCGCTCACCGATGACGTCTCATACTCGCGCCGTTATCGAGGGAAAGCTCATCTCTGATTGGTCCCCGTTCGCGACGTTCCTGGCAGCGTTTGGAACAACAACTTTATTAGCACCTGGCGCTAGGCGGAGAGAGGCGGTAAGCAGCAAGGAGAGGGGCTGATCAGACTCACGGCCCGCTGTGGACCGATCCTGCTAAGCGGTGAATCGCTGTGGCTGGACGACGAGGCATCAAGACAAGAAGAAAGACTGTGGCAACTCAGAGGACTGGTTGCGGCGTTAGACGGGAAAGCAAGGCCTTTAAGTAGGGATTCGGGGTGGACGTGGGGGTGGGCGGAAGCGAAGCCGGAAACAAGAAACTACAACTCCCACAAGGCCTAGAGCCACGTCCCTCCGTCCTCGGCCGCGGGGCCTGATGGGACAAGTAGTTTTGCAAACGGCTTAACCTTGAGATTTAAGAGGTTGGAAGTTGTGAGGCCAGGGGCTCCCGGAGCTCGCGGAGATGGAATTGGAGCAGAGAGAGGGGTAAGTGACTGAGCACTTGTGAAAAACTGCGAATCCCAGAAGACACCGCACCTGCATTTGCGTGCAACCATATGACCTTTTACCCTGAGGGCTGATGGGGGTTGTAGTTCTTGCAGCTGCTTTACCTTAGAACCCTTTTATGGACTGAGGTCTGCACTGGTGCATCCTGAGAGACGAGAAGGCTAGGGATTTGTACTGCTGGATCTGAGACGAGGAGGTTGGAAGCCTGGACTCCTGCGTCTGGGTGAGGGTTGGGACTTGGACTCCCTGGGTCCTTGGAGAGAAAAAGTCTGGAAGTCTGGACTCTTGGATCCTGGGAGGGAGGGGCTGGGGACCTGGACTCCTGGGTCTGTGGCAGGAGGGACTGAGTACGTGGACTCCTGGGTCTGATGGAGGAGGGGCTGGGGACCTGGACTCCTGGGTCTGAGGGAGGAGGCGCCGGGACCTGGACTTCTGGGTCTTGGGGCGGAGGGGCTGGGGAACTGGACTCCTGGGGCTGGGGGAGGAGGGGCTGGGTGCCTGGACTCCTGGGTCTGAGGGAGGAGGGGCTGGGGGCCTGGATTCTGGGATCTGAGGAAGGAGGGTGTGGGGTTTGGGCTGCTGGTTCAATGGGAAGAGGGGCTGAGGGTCCAGGATCCAGGGCCCCTGAGCCTTTCCCTGCCCCTTAGGACCATGGCAGCCGTGGGCTTTGAGGAGTTCTCAGCGCCGCCAGGCTCAGAGTTGGCGCTGCCTCCCCTGTTTGGTGGCCACATCCTGGAGAGTGAGCTGGAGACGGAAGTGGAGTTTGTGTCAGGTGGTCTGGGTGGCTCAGGGCTCCGGGAGCGAGATGAAGAGGAAGAGGCAGCCCGGGGTCGCCGGCGGCGCCAGCGGGAATTAAATCGCAGAAAGTACCAGGCACTAGGTCGGCGCTGCCGGGAGATCGAGCAGGTAGGTGAGTGCGGATCCCCCTGTTTTGGGGTCCTCCGGCCTAAACTACTGCCCCTGCCATCTCTGCCTCTCCACATGCCTGGCCTTCCTTGGCTCGCTGAATGCATCTTTCGCTTATTTCTTCACTCGTTTAGCATCCATATGTGTCTGGCCTTGTGCCAGGCCCCTCTATCTCCTGTGGAGCTTCCCTGACAACCCAGATGGGTGTTGTGATGTCTCCCAGGGGTCTCTCAATAGGTAGTAGAGCCAGGTGAAAGTCCAGGCTCTTCACATCTCCCATGCCCCTGCCAGGATCACTCCTCTCGACCCGTTTATTCTGACCCTCAATCCCCACGCTGCCACTGCAAACTCCAATTTGTCTAGGGTGAATGACTGCATCAGCCTCCCTGCTGAGAATGAGGGATGGCCCAGGCATTGTGGCTCATGCCTGTAATCCCAGCACTTTGGGAGGCCAAGGCATGAGAATCACCTAAGGTCAGGAGTTCCAGAGCAGCCTGGCCAACATGGTGAAACCCCATCATCTCTACTAAAAATGCAAAAAGTTAACCACGTGTGGTGGTGTGCACCTGTAGTCCCAGTTACTCGTGAGGCTGAGGCATAAGAATTGGTTGAATCCAGGAGGTGGAGGTTGCCGTGAGCCAAGATCATGCCACAGCACTCCAGCCTGGGTGACAGAGTAAGACTCTGTCTAAAAAAAAAAAAAAAAAAAAAATCAAAAAAAAAAAAAAAAAAAAAAAAAAATCAATAAGGATGGAACAACATCAGGCAGGGCTCAGATCCTGGCAGGCCAGGAACAACAGGACACAAAGTTTGGAGATTTTTTTTTTCCCTCAAGAGTGAGGAGGAGCCATTGAAGGGTTTCAGACGGAGGAGGGACAGTATCAGGTCTGGATGCTTGAAACTCTCTGAAGACAGCTGTATTAGTTTGCTAGGACTCCCATAATGCCTCACAAACAGGGTCCCTCAAGAACAGAAATTCCTGGCCAAGTGCGATGGCTCACGCCTGTAATCCCAGCACTTTGGAAGGCCGAGGTGGATGGATCATCTGAGGTCAGGAGTTTGAGACCAGCCTGACCAATGTGGTGAAACCCATCTCTACTAAAAACACAAAATAGGCCGGGCGCGGTGGCTCACGCCTATAATCCCAGCACTTTGGGAGGCCGAGACGGGTGGATCACGAGATCAAGAGATCGAGACCATCCTGGTCAACATGGTGAAACCCCTTCTCTACTAAAAATACAAAAATTAGGTGGGCATGGTGGCGCACGCCTGTAATCCCAGCTACTCGGGAGGCTGAGGCAGGAGAATCGCTGGAACCTGGTGGCAGAGGTTGCGGTAAGCCAAGATCAAGCTACTGCACTCCAGCCTGGGCGACAAGAGTGAAACTCCATCTCAAAAAAAGAAAAAGGGACAGAAATTCCTAACAGTTCTGGAGGCTGGAAGTCCAGGGCAAGGTGTCGGTGGGCTTGTGAGAATCTGTTCCAGGCCTCTCCCCTGGCTTCTGGAGGTTGCTGGCAGTCGTTGGCACATAGAAGCATCAGCCTGATCTCCATCCTCATCTTCATACTGCTGCTCCCTCTGCGTGTGTGTCTGCGTGTCCCAGTTTCCTGTTTATAAGGACTCCGGTCATACTGGATTAGGGCCCAGCCACTGGCTTCATTTTAACTTGATTACTTTTGTGACAACCCTGTCTCTAAATAAGGTCAGATTCTGAGGTACTGGGGGTTATGGCCTTAACACCCCTTTTAGGGGGACATAACTTTTTTTCTGAGATGGAGTCTTGTTTGGGGAGGCCCAGGCTGGAGTGCAGTGGTGCCATCTCAGCTCACTGTAACTTCGACCTCCTGGGTTCAGGTGATTCTCCTGCCTCAGCCTCCCGAGTAGCTGGGACTACAGGTGTGTGCCACCACACCCAGCTAATTTTTGTATTTTTAGTGGAGATGGGGTTTCACCATGTTGGCCAGGCTGGTCTCAAACTCCTGACCTCAGGTGGTCTACCCGCCTCAGCCTTCCAAGGTTCTGGGATTATAGGTGTGAGCCACTGCTCCTTGCCTTCAGCGTTTTTTTCTCCTCTTTGTTGAGGCAGGGTCTCATTTTGTCACCAAAGCTGGAGTGCAGTGGCGCAATCTCAGCTCATTGCAGCCTCAACCTCCCAAGTTCAAACAATCCTCCTGCCTCAGACCCCAAAATAGCTGGGACTACAGGCACACCGCACCCGGCTAATGTTTGTACTTTTTGTAGAGGTGGGGTTTCGCCATGTTGCCCAGGCTGGTCTTGAATTCCTCACCTCAAGTGATCCCTTCGCCTTGGCCTCCCCAAATATTAGGATTACAGGCATGAGCCACTGCGCGTGGCCTCAACTCTTAATGACGGCACTGGAGAGTTCTGTAAGGAGGGAGGCTGGGGCATATTCCAAACTCTGTTTAACAGATGGACACCTAGGCTCAAAGGGACTCAACTGGAGCCTCTGCTCATAATCCAGCCCCCACGAATAGATCCTGTTACTACTCCTATTTACAAGTATAGAAAATTAAGGCTTAGAGAGATTAAGTAACACACCCAAGCACAGAGCTCAAACTCCTGGCCTCAAGTGATCCTCCTACCTTGGCCTCTCAAAGTGCTAGGATTATAGGCATGAGCCACCATGCCAAGGCCAGAGCCAAGATTTGAACTCAGGTCTTTTTCTTTCTTTTTTTTTTTTTCGAGATGGAGTTTCGTTCTTGTTGCCCAGGCTGGAGTGCAACGGCGCGATCTCAGCTCGCTACAACCTCCACCTCCTGGGTTCAAGCGATTCTCCCCCCTCAGCATCCCGAGTAGCTGCGATTACAGGCATGCACCACCATGCCCAGCTAATTTTGTATTTTTGGTAGATACGAGGTTTCATGTTGGTCAGGCTGGTCTTGAACTCCTGACCTCAGGTGATCCACCTGCCTAGGGCTCCCAAAGTGCTGGGATTACAAGCGTGAGTCACTGTACCCAGCTTTTTTTTTTAAACAGGGTGTCACTGTCCAGACTGGATTGCAGTGACATGATCTCAGCTCACTGCAGCCTCTAACTCCCATGTTCAACTGATTCTCCTGCAGGCACGTGCCACCACGCCTGGCTAATTTTTTGTATTTTTAGTGGAGACAGGGTTTCACCATGTTGGCCAGGCTGCTTTCGAACTCCTGACCTCAGGTGATCTGCCTGCCTCGACCTCCCAAAGTGCTGGGATTACAGGTGTGAGCCACTGCACCTGGCCTGGTATGTTTCGGCTTAATGGGAGGTTTGGGCTCCCTGAGCAGGTAACAGTTGACCTAAGACTTGAGGGAGTGGGGAGTGAGCTGCGTGAATGGCTGAGTCGAGGGTCCATGTAGAGGAACAGCATGTGGAAGGCCCCACAGGAGGGCACTCAGGACCCAGCGTGGTGAGAGGGGAGTGGGAGGGATGGGGAGGTGGAAGTGCCTCAGGCCACTGGAGGGTCTTTGTCCAGCCTCCCCCAAGCTTAGCACGTGCTCCGTTACACATCCATTGAACGAATGAATGGGAGGAGTGGGATCCAGCTCATGTGGGTTTCCCGTCCCACAGGTGAACGAGCGGGTCCTGAACAGGCTCCATCAAGTGCAGAGGATTACTCGGAGGCTACAGCAGGAGCGGAGGTAACCCCTTCTGTGCCCCCCCCACCCCGGGCCCTTGTGCTTCGGCTCTCAGACACTCCCACCCCCTCGTGTCTCCCCACTCCCATGACCTCCCAACCCTGACAAGCCACAAGGAAGAGAGCCTGGAGATGAGGGCCTGGGGCTGAGGCAGGCAGGGAGGAAGGGTGGAATTCGGTCTTGGAGGGAGGAGTGCTGAGCGCTGGGACTGAGGGAGGGCTGGGTAGA